AGTAATACATTAAAACTATAGACACTGCAACAGAAGATAAGGAAATGCAGTATTTCACTGGTAGCTATTAAGATCTTTTAAATGGAGTGTGTTGTGCCAGATACAGATTATTCTACTCAGGTTTGTATCCTTTGCACCAGTCAATGCTGAGATGTAACAAGCCATGAATGTTTGCTGGATAAATGAAAGGTTGGTGGATGACTCAAAATTATCTAACTCAAACTTAAGTTAATCAGTCTACTGTCACAAATCCTCTACCTCTTCCTAAATTAGTTTACAGGGCTTTACTCCATATAAATATTTGGCAGCTTAAAATGTTAAGTCTATGCTTCTCAAGCCCCTATTCTACGCAAGTAAATTTTAAGCAGTTTTTTCACTTTTTTAATCTTTTACATTCATAAAACATAAGACTAGCTTTTACTGATCTTTACTCATCCTTTGACAGTGAAAAGAACTGATCATCGACTATAATGAATGAGCTCAATTCATCCTTGGTTACTCATCTTTGTACAGAGCCTGCATGAGTCAGATTGAAATAGTTTCTTGACAGATCAGATAATTTTCCCTGGATTAAATCTTGGGTATTTTCTGCACCTTTTTTTTGTCACGTGTGTCTTAATTATTTGGTGAGCTAGTTGTTTTTCATCTTACCTATTAGAAATCACATCAGGAAACATATATACTCTGATTGACTGTTAAATGGTTTTAATGTCACCAACTATTAAGAGTATTATAGAACTCTAGCCCTAAGCATATAGGATAAAAAGGAAAAGCGTGACAAGCCTGAAGACACTGAAGTCTCAAGTAGTAAACCAGAATGTAGTTTTTGCTCATTTTCAAAAGATGCAGCACTCAGAGTTCCACTGAAATCTTTAAAGGGCTCCCTCCCTAGGATTAGCTGGCTTTAAGGATATGTCACCTCTTTGAGTAGATCCAACGTGCAGAATCTCTGTGGTACCTAGGAGGTCTAAGAATTTGTGGCAGGTGATATTTTCCAAAAATGGCCCCAAACAGTCTCTCTTATTCCACGTTCTTTCAACATGACCATGACATTCCTCCCATTGAGAAGTGGGGTCTATGCCACAGCCCTTGAATCTGGGCAGGTTGTTACTTGATTATAACTAATGATGCTAGAAATTTGCAAGAATACATCAGAAAGGGTAAGGCACCTTCTGCCTGTTTGTTGGACCATTCACACTTGGAATCCTGAGTTACCACTCAGAAGCCAGACTAGCTTAAGGCCACCATGCTGAAGAAGTCAAGCCACACGGAGAGGCCGTATTCTGGTTACTCCATCTGGTAGTCCTCGATTTTGAACTGTCCCAATCCAGATGTGTGAACGAAGGAGTTTCAGATGATGCCAGTCCGTAGCTATTGAGTCACTAGTTAGCCTCTGAATCTTCCTAGCTGAGGCCCTGACATCATGAAGCAGGTACAAGTCATCCCTGCTGTGACCTTTTGGAATACCTAGCTCACAGAATTCCTAAGCATAAACAAATGTTCTTTGTTTCATGAGATTAAGTTTGAGATAGTCTGTTACACAGCAGTAGTAAATGGAGTAATCTTACAGCAGTATAATCTCAAAAAATTTACGAAAACGACCTTTGACTTTAATTATCTACGTATGTGTGGATACAGGCAAGTTTTCTGAACACTGATCTAATAGCTTAGCAGCCTATAAAGTTAGAGAGCAGCGTTGTAAGAGTAAAGGTTTTCCTTTACAACTTCTTTGAAAATCTATTTCAAGGGCCAATTTTAACTGTTACATTATATTTAAAAAATTTAGCATTATCTCTTCTTGTCTCAAGCAACATTTTGATACTAGGCAAACTATTTTGTTAGCTTCTGGCCAATTGATTGTTTTTCACTTATTTTAGCTTGTTGGTTTTTCACATTGAAATTATCCTCTGCTTTGGACATCTTCATTACTTTAACACATTTTTAGTATTGATAAGTCTTTTCAATGACTGGTGATGATCCCTTTATTGGGTCCTAAATTTGGCTCACTGAAAAGTGACCGGCAATGTTTCTAAAAACAAAATAGGTGGGTCTAAACCTGAGAGCTACTACAGTTGAAAAGCTAAAATGTTAACCAATTAAAGTAGAAAGATATGTCAGTAATGATCATCTGGATTTAAAATAATTGATTTGAAGCCTTTTCTACCTATAATTAAATAGTAGGTCCTAATAGCTCGGCTGTAACCCTCATATCTTCTCATGTTTAAAAATCTTACAAAATTTTTTTTTTTTTTTTTTGGTGGAGGAAGAGGGGGAAGACGGCGTGAAAAGAAAAGAATTAAGGGAGACTTTCAAAGAGGAAAGGAAAATAACTAATTTCACAATCAGAACTATTTGAGAGTTTGGGGATTCCTGAAGCTTTTCACTACCCATTATTCCCAAAAGTAAAAGAGAATAATAGTCCAAGAAAAACTTACATCAATATGACAACATGTGACGTTATAAAAACTGGTTCCTTTTTTTTTGTTTAAGTATTTATAAACTGATCATTTAGAAACAAAATATAAAATATTATCTTCCTAAGTATTCTCTTATGGGTTCCAAAGGTTTCACAATTAAAGGAGGAAAATGTTAACATTACTGTAATACCTGACAAAATGTTTTGAGCCACTTTCTCACTCCATTCAGGTAGTTCCTTTGCTTTTTCTTCTGCAACTGGCTCATAGGGCACCATATGACTCAGATTAACTTCTTCACTTGAAGTACCTTTAGCCTAAATAGTAAAAATGTTTTAAAATGCGAAACAGTAAAGTACTACGAGGGGAAAAATTATAAGCTTTATGTAATAAAATATTAAGCCAACAAATACTAGATATAATTAAGGAAAGTATCTCCAGCCAACCTAGTTAGCAGTACATTCATAACATAGAGTGCAATACCATAACTACCATAAAATTGAGAACTGTCCTGGTCTTATATACAGTCCCACTGGCAAATAAGACTTAAATACCAACATACCTCCAATACAGCATTTAGCAAATCAGATTTAAAGTGACCTTTTTCAATCCTTGACTAGACTATGTGTTCCTTCATACAGCTGTCGTCTCCTAGATATTAGTATGTACACATTTTTCAGTAAGGTTAGAAGATTTCTGTTAGATGACTCAGTGAGGAAGGATGTATCCAAATAAACTGGATCAAGTAAAAGCAAGTAAATATGTGTAAACACAGAACAACCTACCATGCCATTGGCATAAAAATGGGAAACACAGAAATGCCTGTACTTTGCTATGAGACCTGAAGCCAACACTCAGTTAATCTGAGTTAGCCTGTTCCCAAGCTCCTCCTAAGAACTGGTTAACTCAGACCTCACAGTATTATAAAATAACTTGAAAACCAAATTGCCCAACAGAAATACAAAGAGAAGTTGACTTAAAATACAAAACAACATGAAAAACAAAACAAAAACTTCTACATGGGGGAAAAGCCACTCGTAAGTAAAAACTAAATACAAACTGGACAAAATATTTGACATGGGCTAATGTGCCTAAAATATAAAGAGCTCCTAGAAATTGAAAAGAAAAAGACTAGGAAAACTCAGTAATAAAAATGGATAAAGGATATTAATATACATCACACAGAAAACAAAATTCAAGGAACCCTTAAGCAGATACTCAACATCACTCATAATAAAATCAATGCAAATTAAAATATTCCAATATACCATTTCTCATCTATCAAACTGCCAAAATACAGAAATGCTGACCACCCAACTCTGTTGACAGGCTGTGGGGAAAAGGGTCCTCTTGCATATTGGCAGGAGTGCCTAAGAGTACAATCCTTAAGAAGAGCAATTTAGCAAAATCTATCAAAATTACAAATGCATTCGTCTTGTGACTCAGTAACCCCACTTGTTTTACCTGATGAATTACCTACAAATGTATGAATTAATGGATCTACAAAGTTAATCGCTGAAGCACTGTCTGTAAAACCAAAAACCTGGAATCACGTCTTAATAAAAAATTGGTTAAAGAAACTATGATGTAGTCACACGATGAAATACAAGATAGCTGTAAAAAAAAATTGAGGAAGTTCTCTATTTAATGACATGAAAGATCCTTGGAATTTATTATTAAATAAGAAAAATAAAACAGAGGACACTCTATATGATGTTACCTTTGTAAAGAGAGGAAGAGAAATAATAACAGTTTTTATTTGCTTTTATCTGCTTCAAGAAACACTTGAAGAAACACAAGATCCTGATAAAAGTGATCACGAAGACCGATGGGGGCAGGGGGACACACAAAGGTGGGAGTAAAGCTTTTCAATGCATATACCTTTTGATATAATTTGATTTTTTAAACCAAGTTATTAAATTTTTTAAAAATCAAGTTCTAAGTGATATGGAAAAATTTCTAAACATACCATGAAGTAAAAAGCAAGGAGCAGAATAATGTATCTTACATACTGCTATTTGCATTAAAAATTATACATGTGTGTAAATACACATATATCCACACAAAATAAATATGTGTGTGAACATACATTTTAATATGCACAAAATATATCTAGAAGAACAATAAGAAGCTAATAACAATGTATCCAGAGCTAGGAGTTAGGAGTCTGGGGGACAGTAATGGGAGGAAAACTTACTTTTCACTATTTATCTTTTTGTAACTTTTGAATTTATTTTTTGGGCATTAACTTAAAAAACATTTTTTAAATAAATATATCACTCAGAACCATTTTGGACTTCCAATGTCCTCACAGAAAAGGATATTCCTAGATATTCAGCATAAACCACAGTGACACCACACAAGTAAATGCAGAATATTCCTTTGACGTTCATTAATTCCAGAGATAATTATTGAGCATTTACAATATGGCATCAATGAACAATACCAAACTTCTTGTAATTTGATACTCACACAATGCTATTTTCTTTCCTCATACATTTGCTTATCTTACTTTTTCTGCCTAGAATCCCCTTCAATCTGCTATTCACATGGTCAACTCCTCTTCATCCTCCAGGACTCGCCTCAACCATCGTGCCCTGTAGGAGGAACCTCCTTACTGTTCCCCACATACCTGTACGCCCACATGTATCTATGAGGCCAGGTTGTACGTTAGATAGAAGGAACAACCTAGCTTTCTATACAACCTAGGAACCTTCATGTAATGATCACATTGGATAAAAATGTCTCTTTGCTAATCTGTCCTCCCCACTAGATGGTCAATTCCTTGAGATGAGAAATTTAAACTTTTTTCACTATGCCTTCTAGCACTTAAAAAATATTTACTTAACTCTAATCCAGATTTATCATTTACAGCATATCATATACTCAGCGTCTAAGAAATGAGAGAAGAAACTACTAAGCATATTTTAAATAATGCATTCTCTGTCCTGTTGACCATCCATGAAGAAATAAGCAACTGAATAAAAATGATAGTTTAAGAAAAAGCATACCTAGCCCAAGATCTTGGTGTATATGGGTAGGTGAAGAACAATACAAAAAGTATACACATCGTTAATGTAAATATAAAAATTGTTGCAAAAGAATCTATTTCTTAAAACAGTTTAAGTAACAAACACTTGGAAAGGGAAATAGTAAAGCCGCTCATTATTTTTTATCAGTAATCAGTTTGTGACTCTGCAAGTTGCTTTCTTTAGTTCATGGGAATAAGATCTAAAAAAAAATTAAAACTGGTGAAAGGTACCATTAGAATAGCATACGCACACAAATACCTTATGACTCTTTTACATATTTTACTTACCTTTTTCCCCCATTTTCCTTTATGACGCACATCCTTACTGCCTTGGTCCAATGAAGGACCTACCTGTCTCACATCGGAGCCACTGGCTTCCTTCAGTTGGTCAGAGGGGCTCCTTGCTCTGCCAGGGATTTGGAATTCGTTTTCTCCTTCAGCCCGGTTCCAGTTGGCCTAGGGAGTAAAGGACTAAGCTGACCTTAAATCCGACGTTCCCCAGATGACTCTCCTTTAAACTGTGGTGCTCCAAACACTGTGCTCTAATAATACACCTGGTCAAATGTCACTGTTTGATGGTCTTGTTTTAAATACAACTACTTTTATTTGTCTTTCCCCTATACTTCTGTTTTATCTCCTCACCTGACCTCAAACCTTTAAGGTCTTTGGTTCACAGCATATGACCTAAAGCAAATTTCAAAAGACAAAATATAGCTCACAAGATGGCATAGAAGGTAGAGGCTGAGCTCGCCGCCTCTAGCGACCACACCAAAGTTATAACAAAACTATAGAACAACCAGTATGTGCAGTCACCTGAGGTCTGGCTGAACAGAAGGCATACAACTAGGTCACCTCAAATAACAGGTCACCTCAAAATGGTAGGAGGGGCAGAAACGGCCCGGTCCCACAACAGCGTGTGGCTGTGGAGAAATCGGGAGGGCTATCGTGGCTCAGAGCCCCCTCCCCAACCTGAGAGCGAGGGGTCCCACCCACACACGGGGCTCCCCAGCCCAGGGATCCAGTGCCAGGAAGAGAAGTCCCCACAACCTCTGGCCATGAAAACCAACGGAGGTTGTGGCTGAGTGACACGGAGGGCTGAGGGCACAGGCTGTCCTCTCAAAGGGCCCGCACCCGGCCTTACTCACTGACGGACTCGCTCGCTCTGCGCTCCAGTGCTGGGGCAGCTGCTTGCGGGGTGCCAGGGACACACGGGGAGGTGCTGACCTATCGGGCTTCAGGGCGAGGGCTGGAGGGGCGGCTTTCTCCCAGACAGAGGTGCAGATAGACACCACTGTTCCTATGTTGAGTCCTCCCTCTCCCAGCCTGCAGACATAGGCGCCGTGGTATCCGAGTTTCCATCAACATGGATAACACAGGTGATTCTGCCCAGGGGATTCCCTGAGACCCCGCCTCTCCCAATTTGTGGGCCCACACAAGCTGCTTCTAGTAATTTATTCCATACAAATGGGCTGTCTTGGCTCTGGCTGCAAACTTTCATAAAATTCCTTAAAGACTCACAGAACCCGAAGAAGTCGCATCTGGCCTCGGTGGGTCCTGTATGTCTTGCAGAGCAGCCCCAAGCCCTGTACAAGTGGCTGCTGGCTTCGGTTTCTGACTTGGCCCCTCAAGGTACCTGTAAGCCCAGCACAGGTGGCAGCCATATGTGGATTGCCTGGTGACTCTTACCAGGTGGCCGTAGAGGTACACAGGCTGTGGCTGAACTTGGCCAGCAGCTAGAACCCTTCTGGTCTGTGCCACTAGGCCTCACAGCACACCTACTACATAAAGCCACTCTACTAAGACCAGGAGACTTAGAAGCCCTACCTAATACATAGAAACAGACACAGGGAGGCAGCCAAAATGGGGAGACAAAGAAGCATGTCCCACATGAAAGAACAGAACAAAGCTCCAGAAAAAGAATTTACCAAAATGAAGGCAAGCAATTTAATAGATGCAGAGTTCAAAACACTGGTTATAAGGATGCTCAAAGAACTTTGGAGAAGAGTAAATGAACTCAGTGAAAACTTTAACAAAGAGATAAAAAATAAAAAAATAAAAAACTAGAGATGAAAAACAATAGGGAACCAATCAGAAATAAATAATACAATATCTGAGATGAAGAGTACATTAGAAGGAATCAACAGAGTGGATGAGATGGAGGATGAAATCAGTGACACAGAGGATGGGGTAGCAGAGGACACCCAACCCAAATGGCAACAAGAAAAAAAATCCTAAAAATATGAAGATAGTTTAAGGAGCCTCTAGGACAACATCGAGCATAACAACATTTGCATCATAGGGATATCAGAAAGAGAGAGAGTAAGGAATTAAAAACCTATTTGAAGAAATAATGACAGAAAACTTCCTTAACCTGGTGAAGAAAATAGACATACAACCCCAGGAAGTTCAGAGGGCCCCAAACAAGACGAACCCAAAGAGGTCCACATTAAGACACATCATAATTAAAATGCAAAAGGTTAAATTCAAAGAGAGAATCTTAAAAGTAGCAAGAGAAAAGCCATTAGATATCTACAAGGGAACGCCCATAAGACTGTTAGCAGATTTCTCAACAGAAACTTAACAGGCCAGAAGGGCTTGGCACAAAATATTAGAAGTGGTGAAAACCCAGGACCTACAACCAAGATTACCCAGCAAAGCTATCATTTAGAAACGAAGGACAGATAAAGAGCTTCTCAGACAAGAAAAAAGCTAAAGGAGTTCATCACCACTAGGCCGGTATTACAGGAAATGTTGGAGAAACTCCTTTAAGAAGAAACAATTATGTATCAAAAGTATGAATAAAGAATGTCAATAACTACATAGCTATCAATGAGTACTTCAAATGAAAAAGAATTAAATGCTCCAGTCAAAAGACAGGGTGGTTGAATGGATAAGAAAACAAAACCCTTACATATGCTGCCTATGAGAGACTCACATCAGATGAAAAGACACACACAGACTGAAAGTGATGGGATGAAAAAGATGTTTCACGATGGACCTAGAGGGTGCTGTGCTGAGTGGAAAAAGTCAGATAGAGGAAGAAAAATGCCATATGGTTACATGTATATGTGTAATCTAAAGAACAAAACAAACAAACAAAAAATCCAGAAACTCATAGATATACAGAACATTTTGAGGTTTCCAGATGGGAGCAGGGTTGGCGGAGGGAGGGGCGGGGTGCGGGGGAGGGGTGGTCAGTGAAAAAGAAGGAAGGGATTAAGAAGTACAAACTGGTAGTTACAAAACAGTCATGGAGATAGAAAGTACAGCACAAGGGCTATAGCAGATAACACTGTCATAACTATGTACAGTGTCAGAGGGGTACTAGATTTATCGGGATGATCAAATACTGTCATAACTATGTACGGTGTCAGAGGGGTACTAGATTTATCGGGATGATCACTCTGTAAGTTATATAGATGGATAATCACTATGTTGCATACCTGAAACTAATATATTGTATGCCAACTATAACTGAAAAATAAAAAGATATATTAAAAAAAGACAAAGTATAAAAAACTTATAGTAGTTACTGGTATAAGTTACCATTACATCAGATACCGCTACATTTGAATTATACAACAGATACTGTTAGAAACATATATAAAACGAAATAATTTAAAAGGCAATTAATAAAACTCATGTCCAGTTAAACTACTCTGCACTGCTGAAAAGCTGATTGCTGATATTTTTTGCACTTAAAACTAAAGGTATTCCACTCACATACACTTTTCTGAATGAAAACAGTACAATTAATCCATTATTCTGAGTAAAAATAACTTCCAAACTAAGCCAAATGATTCATCAGATATTATATCTTCTTCAACAAAGACTACTTAAGAGTGAAAAAGACAAGTCAAAATTATAGCTAGTAACTAACTTTCATTTACAGTTAGTTCTGGGACAAAAGAGCAAACTAAAAATAACATATAACCAAAAAATAAAACTCTTAATAGAGAAGTGAAATATAACCTAAAAGTCGGTTTAATTTCTTTCCTACAGCCCAGTAATAAAGGTTCAATGAAATGTAGGGGTGGAGGGAGAAAGAGCTCCATAATAGATCTGGAGTACTTAAGAATGTCACTTCATTCTGCTAGTAAACAGCAAACTTAAGACTTAAACTCATATCCATCTGACCATGTTCCTGCCTTTGTAAATCTCTCTCCATGAGAACACAGGCTATACATATTTCTGTATGGGGATCATGAGTTTTGTTAACATACATTAAATGTTTAGTGTTGACTATGCTAAAGTATAAGTTGATTGCCAGGTCATTCACATATAAAGTTTGTTCATATAACTTAAGGCCGAGATGACTCTCTGACTTTTTACTTTGCTGGTGATCTGTTCCCATAATCTTCAACCTTTTAAATATAGGTATGAATTAAAGTGCATTCAACTTCCTGAGAAAACAAGAACAAATTTTTCAAGACTGAAATCAAAGGAAACTACAGTTGACCCTTGAACAACACAGGTTGGAACTGGCACATCTACCTATATGTGGATTTTCTTGAATAAATACTGTAAATGTATTTCTGGTCAAGATGGCAGGGTAGGTAAACTCTGTGTTTGCCTCCTGCCATGATCACATCAAAATTACAAATAAATTATAGAACCAACACCCTTGAGAACTACCTGAAGACTAGCTGAACAGAATTCTTGTAACTAAGGATAAAAGAAGCCACTTCAAGACTGGTAGGTCTCACACCCACGTGTTGTGGTTAAGAATCAGGGGGGTTATCTCAGCGGTGGATATCCCCGCTGAGGAGTGAGAGTTCCCCAGCCTAGAGCACCAGTGCTGTTTTGGAGAATTCTCCAAAACGACTGGCTGTGAAAATCAGCAGGGATTATGTCCAAATAAGATGAAAGGCTGCTGCAGACACAGAGATCTTCTTAAAGGACCTGAGCACAGACCACTCGCAAATACACACTCATCCTAAATTCCAGGGAAGGGAGAGCAGCTCAAAAAGCACTAGGGACATATATTCAGGGTGAAGGCTGGAGGGGCAGCTCTCTCAGGGCTATGGTATTGGCAGGTGCCATGATTCCTTAGTGGAGCCTTCTCCCTACCCACCCTGCAGGTGCAAGTGAGCACCATACCTGAGTCTCCATTAACCTAGACAACACCATTCTAGTCCCCACCCTGGTGATTCTGAGACTTTGCCTCTTGATAAGTGGCCCAAAGCCTAGCACTGGTGGCAGCCAGCCTCAGTTGACAGCATAGCCTCCAAGACCAGCACAGGCAGCGGCTGGCCCTGGCTTGTGCCAGAATCCCTCCCAAAAGGCCCCAGAATCAACACACCAGTGCTGGTAAGAGATGTCACCAAAACAGCTTCAGACCACACCAGAGCACCACCCAATCAGCATCACAAACAACACACCCAAGGGGTGGACTCAGCAGGTACCAGAACCCATTTAAATCGAATTATTTCATAGGGTCAGCCTCCACACAACAGCTTGTCTGCTGTAGCCATGGCTGGTTTTCATAGCCAGTCAGTCTGAGGGTCCATCCCACCCACTAATGTGCCAACAGCAATCAAGGCTCAACAATGACAGGAGAGTACATGCAACCCACACATGGACACACCTGGAGCATTCAGCTCAGGTGAACAGGGAGACTGCGCCACCTACTACAGCTGGCCACTCTGTCAAGACTGGTAGATGTAGTAGATCTACCTAATGCATAGAAATAAACACAGAAATGCAGTCAAAATGAGAAGACAAAGAAACATGTCCCAAATGACAGAACATGACAAAGCTCCAGAAAAAATACTAAACAAAATGGAGACAAGCAATCTATCAGATTCAGAGTTCAAAACACTGGTAATAAGGATGTTTGATGAACTTTGGAGAAGAGCAGATGAGCTCAGTGAGAACTTCTTCAACAAAGAGCTAGAAAACATAAAAATGGATATAGGAAACATAAAAAAGAACCAGTCAGAAAGGAAGAGTACAATAACTGAAATGAAGAATACATTAGAGGGAATCAACAGTAGATTAAAGGAAGCAAAGGATCAAATCAGCAATTTAGAAGACAATGTAGAGGAAAATACCGAATCGGAACAGCAAAAATGAAAAAAGTTTTTTTAAAAATAAAGATATTTTAAAGGGCCTCTGGGACAACATCAAGCATCCCAACATTTGCATCACAGAGGTATCAAAGGAGAAAACAGGGAACAAGAGATTGAAAATCTATTTGAAGAAATGACAGAAAACTTCCCTAAGATGGTGAAGGAAATAGACATACAAGTCCAAGAAGTGCAGACAATCTCAAACAAGGTGAACCAAAAGAGGCCCATACCAAGACATGTCATAATTAAAATGCCAAACATTAAAGACAAAGAAAGAATCCTAAAAGCAGTAATAGAAAGGAAGCTAGTTACTTGCAAAGGGCTCCCATAAGACTGTCAGCTGATTTCTCAACAGAAATTCTGCAGGCCAGAAAGGACTGGAACAAAATATTCAAAGTGATGAAAACCAAGATCATTATACCCCACAAGGCTATCATTTAGATAGCTTTCCAGATAGGAAAAAGCTAAAGGAGTTCACCACCACCAAAACAGTATTACAAGAAATGTTAGAGGGACTCTTTTAAGAAGAAAGAAAACAAAAAATACTAATAAGACAATACTGCAAAGAAAAAATTCTCATTGGACAAAGAAAAACACTTAATAAAAGCAGTGGATCAACCAACACCGAAGCTACTACAAAGGTTAAAAGGCAAACGTAGGAAGATCATGTGTAATTACAACAGTAAATTAAGGAATGCAGACAAACACACACACAATAGTAGTAAAATCTAATGACAAAAACATAAATGTAGAGATGAGTAAAATTAGTAGTGATTTTAGAATATGTTTGAACTCAAGCGACCATCAACTTAAAACAGACTGCTATAAACATAGCTTGGTATATATGAAGCACATGGTAGCCACAAACCAAAGATCTACAAGAGCTACATAAGAAAGAATAAAAAGGAATCCAAACACACTATGGAAAACCATCAACATACAAGAGAAGAGAGCAAGAGAATAAGAAACAGATAACTACAAAAACAAACAAAAATAAAATGGTAATAACTACATACCTAGCAATAATTACTTTAAATGTAAGTAGATTAAATGCTCCAATCAAAAGACAAATGAAAAAAGAAGTGGTACATATATACAATGGAATATTATTTGGCCACAAAAAAGAATGAAATCTTACCATTTTTGACAACATGGATGAACCTACAGAGTATTATGTTAAGTCAGAGAAATAAGTCAGAGAAAGACAAATACCGTATTATTTCACTTATATGTGGAATCTAAAAAGCAAAATAAATAAAACAGAAAAAATCTGTGAAAAAAAGAAGTGTTTTTTTCTGATATCTAGAAAGGATTTCAGAGTTGTAGAGGGCAATTACTCAGCCAGTGGGTTTGGAGGAAGAGGCAGGCTGCCATCACTACAGGTCTGCCCATTGTTTATGTCTGGCAACCTCTGTGACCCTGAGCCTGGGTTGATGTCCTCTGAATTCTCATTACCCAGGTACAAGCATAACTTTACCTTGAACTTAGAACACTGTTTTGGAATTGCTACTTCATGCACATGCACCTCTGGCTAGATTGCAGGCTTCTTGAGGAGTAAGTAGGATGCCAGCTGACTGAGCTCTACATTCTGGGAACCTGGCACAGTGTCCACAACATGGCAGACAACTAATACATGTTTAACGAATGAATGAATAATTGATATGGATTCTAAAATCTTGATTCATCTCTGCAAGAAAGCAAGAGGCAAAACTCAAGTGCTTGGCTTCATGCCTCCTCGTGATCTGAGATACAGGCCAGGCCAAGTGGTCTGTCAGATCACCTAAGCGTCATGTACTGCCTTCATACAAACTCTCAGCCAACCTCACAGAAAGGGTCTAATGGAAACCTCTGACCATGAGTTCTTGTACCATCGTTTAGCACTGGGTCATCTTCAGGTCTTTTCTTGAATATCACCTTCTCCTCCGATCATCCCATTTACAGTTGCACCTGCCTCACCCATACCGGGACTCCTGTTTTTTGTTACCCACTTTCTTCTATAGCTCTTATCTCCGTCTAATGTATTATATACTAATTTGCTTGTGTGTTCAAAGATACAAGTTTGGAATATGCTGTAAATAGTTGATTAAGATTGCAGGCTCCGAAGTCAAATTGCTTAGGCTTACGTTAAAGTAGATTTTCATCCTGAAGACGATCACACAAGTTACCTGAAGCCGAAGGTCAGACATTTGTCTTAACAGATCCTCGAAGAGTTCTCTATCATCTTCTGGTAATTCAGAAGACAAGACGACTCCCACGAAGCATCCTGATGCTTGCAACATTGTATCAGGAAACATGTAGGCTCCCACAGTACATTTAAGAACTGGAGATCTATCAGGAACTAGAGGATACAACCAGCCACACACCTGAAAGGATTATTATTTTAAAAAAAAACAATGAATGAACTAGGTTCTCAGCAAGGTTTTACAATTGTTATATCAGAAAACAAACATGGTAAAGTTTAAAAGGTATTTTACAAGGCTTTATAGGACCACTGGCATCAATGAGGCCCCCATAAAAATTAGCCATGTAATAGTCTGGTCTTCCTGCAAACCACTCACAAGAACTGTGCTAAAAATGTTATTGCTCCACTATTTATAAAGTCTTAAAACTGGTAACCTTAAATAGCCCACTGTTAACCAATAATGAGTTTAGCTTTAAATAAATAATGGTCAGAGTAAATTAAAGCTTTCTTTATCATTTAAATTAAACATCCCTTTGTAGAAATAAAAAAAAACTGTTTTCAAGTACTCTACATGTACTGTTCAATCCTCACAAAAATGCCATTAAGTCAGTTAGTGCTGTCATTTTATATACAAGACAACTGAAGCACAGAGAGGTTAATTACACTGCACAGAGGCAACAACTAAAATGTGGAGCTATGATTTAAATGCACACGATCTTGTACCAGAGAAGCTGAGCAATTATTTTAATTAGAAACTCAGCATTCACAATGTTGAATATACAGAATTTACTAAACCCAAGAGAACTTGACAGGACAGAGGCTAGAATAAAACACTTAGTTATGTTTGTGGATTCACTATCATTGCAAAGTTAAATCGAAATGACACAAAGCTGCCTTGGTATGTCACCTGGGGTGGTCAGACTCTCAGTATACCAAGATTTGAGACTAAGGCTCATTTCCTGGAGATCTAAATGCAGACGAGACCAAGTTTAAATCAAAATAGCCAAATGTATTCATTTCCATTCACATACATTCTTTAAGTGGCCAGAATTGTGCTCCTCACTCAGGACTCTGCTATTCCTAATATTAAGAATCTTATGAGAACAATCTATTATTAAAACATTGTGTGGTGAACGTGAGTCAAAGAGCACAAAAGAGTTCATGTCAACGATGGAAAATTCTAGTATACGACCATCACCCCTGACCAACCGACTGTAATATGCAGGGATCAGCGCATCCAGGTCTGACTCTTTCCTGGAAAGTACTTAATAAACATTTCCAAATTCTTTTTCTTTTATGGGTTCTCTATTTTTTTAGCTGTCTCAAAAGCCACTCTCCATCTCTTATAAAAAAGTCAAACTTCGAACAAGTTACAATAAAACATTACTGTGAAAAACTGTGTTTGGAAAACTTTTTCTAAACTATGATATGTAACCATCTGTGGTATGTGAAATGATTTCAAGTAATACACAAACTTTTTAAATTTGAGTACTTATGTGTTTTAACTCGTATTAGAAAAAAATACAGCCTTCCCTCAATTTCAATAACTATGAAATTAACAAATGACATATCTAAATAAAAATATGAAAGTAAGAGCAGAAGTATGGATTTAACAAAAAAAATTATAAAGTTCATACTTAAATGACTTAAGTTTGGAAAAGTGATTCTCTAAGATTAACTACATTCTGGTCACCTTGATTGAACTGGAGTACCCCCAAATCTCAAATAAAACTTCACAGGCCTTTCTCAGGATAGATTATTACAGACTGGTAGGCTCACCTACCATAGTGAAACTGATTCCTCGCAGTTTCACTTTCAGAGGGCAATCTCATGTCCAAGTTCTGTACAAACTGAATACAAATTTAATAAGTTTAAAAAGTATATTAAAACCAAAACCAAGAGAAAAATAGTTTTTAGAAGCCCTAGAATTATAAGTCTGCCTACTTAAAAGCAAATTAATTTCTCATTTCCTAAATAGGCCAACAGTGATTTTTACAGCTTAAAAAAATTTTATCTAACTTCTGATACTTAATTGATTTAGTGGTTGTTTTTTAGAACATAAAGTGTTTAGTAAACAAACACATGGTAACCCCCTTTTAGGACACTGCTACAAATACCTGAATACATGTAAATGAGAGCCCCTTAGAGAGACAAATTAAGTTTTGGATTTAACTTTACTTTCCATTTAGCACCAAAAAAGTAGAAATATTAAAAACAAAATTAAAAGCACTAAGACTGGACAAATTTTACTAGAAAATGGTTCATTTTAATGGTTGAGCTCACATAACCAGACACACTGTTTCTGATACTTATTTCCCACACCTCCAATAGTCTAGTCTCAAGTTTTTAAAAATTCCATTGTTATAATACAACACATTACTAGATCAGCAAAAACTATTAGCTCTTATCAGCCTTCTCACAATCCCAGTCAATAAGCCTACTCTTTCTAACCTCAAGGATTCTTTCCTAAAATAACCTATAGGATTCACAATAGTCTCACTGTCCAGTAATTAAGTCTTCTTTTCAACAATGACCCCAAATATCTGCTTCATATACCCCTAGTAAGTCTCCAATGATTTTAAAACAACTTTCAAGTTGATTCCATGTAAAAGCTACAAAAGAACTGAAAATAGAGTGCAACAAAAGAGAAAACGAGTCCAGATAACCAGTGGACTCTGGGCCAAGGCGCCTGCCTTGCTGGAATAGTCATCTCCCTTCCACGTAAACTCATTCGTTATACCCACTGTACACTGAGTCCTCATTTCTAGAGCCCATTTCCTCATACCAATGTCCCATCTTTTAAAAAGACTGTTATTGGACCACTACCTTTAGAATACCTCAGTAATTCCACAATAACCTTTATTTAGCACGTCTTTGCTCTAGGACCAAGGGCATCCTGGTAAGTTGATATGCTTGGGATGTTAGAATTGCAACCTAAATTATCATCAGAGTCTTTTCTTCTAAACTAGGCTTTCCCAACCTTGGCATGATTGACATTTGAGGTTGGATAATTTTTTTTCATTAATAGGAGCTCTCCTGTTGAGATGTTTACCAGTAACCCTGGCCTATACTGACTATATGCCAGCAGCAGTAGCATACTCCTCCCTCCCAGTTATGACAACAAAAACTGTCCCCAGACATTGCTGAAAGATCCTAGGGAAGCGGGCAGGGAGGAAGACTGCCCCTGGTTGAGATCCACTGTTCTAGACACTGGGCTGGGTTTAGCCCAGCTCAGACCCTCAGCTGGCGCTTGACATCATTTGTGGAAATGTACAGTAATTCATTACATAAATACATCCACATATTACATAAATCCCTTTTGAAATTAAAGTTATTAGGTTCCTCTTCATATAAAGAATCAAAAATTTAAGGATGAACACTCTGATCCCCTCAGGACCTGTCACCACAAATTTAATACTAAAACAAGACTTTATATGTTAAAAAAAAGAAAAAGAAAGGCTATCAAACACAAACACAGACATTCAAGGCTTATAAATTTCTGAAATATTTAAAAGAAACTAGAACTCATAACGATCTTTTTGCATTTACTGTCTTAGAAAATTATAAATATTAACAAACAAAAGTGGTGCCTTTTACACATATTTCAAATTATATTTACATTTTTCTTTGGCTTACCTGAAGAAACCCAGGAGGACGGTTTAGGACTGTATCCAGAGAATTATCTAAGAATCTCACGATTCTAAGGTACCCGGGATATGAAGGTGCACTAACCTCTCCTGCAGGATTTACAAAAAAAATCTGTACTCCATTTGGTATCAAAATCAACTCATCTGCATCTAGCCCTAAGCTCTCAAGAGGAGGTGGCTGAGAATGATTTCTATAAAAGTCTTCTCCAACTGATGAAAACTCCCCAGATTCCGTTCCATAGGATACAGTGTAGTGACCCTCAGCAGCTTGAGGAGTGTAAGCAGGAGGTGCTTCTGCTGGATGACTCTGAGATGGTATGGATAGAGAACTAGGCGCAGGAACCGATCCTGTACTTGAAGTTGAGGTGTTGCCATTTACTTCAGTGTGCTGAGGAGGTGAACCAAAGGACTGAGGCTCCGGTGACTTTTTGGACACGTCTTTAGGTGGAAATTCTGGATATAACTTGGGCACCTCCTGAAGATCATTCCGCAGAGAAGTGGCAAGACCCTTCTCTAGAATTTCCAACCTGGTACGTACATTCTGTAGTGTTTCTTTCATTTTCTGCTGCATCTGCCTAGCAGATTCCCACTCGGGACCTGTGTATTCAGGGTCTGTTGATGAAACGCTGATTCCTCTGAGCAGGTGTCCTATTCCTTGCTTATAGTAGTTCTTTGCTTCTTCCTTCTGCCCTAATTCATCTGTATTCAGTCCTTTATTAACAAACAAAAAGGCCTTCTTGTATGCTTCCTTGATGATCTTAATTTCGGCAGGTTCCCCATTTTGTGGCTCTTGCAACATTTCTGTAAAACAGGAATTATTATCGTTAATTATCTTACTTAGCTATTCATTTACTTATTTATTATCAATTTCTCCTACCTAAATATATTTCAAGATGACAGGAGCCTTGCTTGCCTTGGTCCCTCTTCCAGAGGAACACTGTATTCTCTACTGTATTCTCTATGGATACTATTAGATCTGACATAGAGAAAGCACTCAGTACATATTTGCTGAATGGACCTATAAATAATGCTCTTGGTCCTAAATATCTTTGTAATTTAAAACTGAAAAAAATTAGGCAGAATACAGCTACTGAATAATTATCTTGTTTCAGTTTCTCATGAAATTAGTTTCCTATCACACATCTTTAAGGTTGGAACCGAGAGTGACATTCTAAAATTCATTATAATATAAATTCAGATTATACACAGCTAATTAAAAATGAATCTGAAAAACACATTGGAGACAACAAGAATGAGAAAAAAATATCTAGATGAAGCTTTAAAGTCACCTGACTTCCATTTAAAGGTGGCAAGTTACTCACATGCAGCTGGCCCTGTTCTCTCCCAAAACTCCATTAAAATAACTCTAACAAGATTATCAAAAAGGCATAATTATTACTTTTAATGAGAAAACAGTATGAGCAGGTACTTCACAAAAGAACATATTTAAATGGCATGAGAAAAGGTATTCAATATACTATTCCCTCGGGTAAGTGAAACTAAAATCCACAGCAGTCTGACTATACACTTATCAGATGGCTAAAATTCAAAAGACTGACCAATGTTAGAAAAGACAGCAACTGGAACTCATGCTTTGCTGATGTAAGTGGAAAACTGGCAATTTCTACTAAAGCTAAACATTCTCTCACTCTATGACCCAACAATTCCTCTTGTCAGCACATAACCGAGGGAAATGAATGAATGTACACATCAAAAACATGTACAGTGATATTCATAGCAACTTTATTCACAAGCCCCAAAACTTGAAAAAATCCAAATGCCTACCCACAGGAGAAAGGATATATAGTGGTATATTTATAGGATGCAATAATACACAGGAACTAAAAGGAACAAAAACAAAACAAAACAAGAATGATGCCTGCAACATAGATGAATCTCATCAATTCTTGGAGCAAAAGCAGCCAGATATAAGACTTCATACTGAGACTACAAACTATGTGAATGATTCTATACAAGTAAAGTTGACAAACAGGCAAAACTAGTGTTTGATGATGGAAATAAAAATAGTGCTAAGTGGGGTGGATACAGACTTAGAAGGGACATGAGAAGACCACATAGCATCTGGAAATGTTCTCTATCTTGATCTGAATGGTGATCAGACTTTTAAAAAACATTAGGCTATAAATTTAAGATTAGTGCACTATGTGCACTTTATGTTATCTCTTAATAAAATAAAGCCGTAACTCACAAAGACAAAGAGAGAGGATGAAGAGTCAGCAGTGCTCTTTGGTTCTGAAAAAGGACACGGACAAATGGTAACACAAAACATCAGAGAAAGCTGAAATACAAGCTGTCAGTGAGGAAATTAGAGAAGCAGCTCCACGTACAGCACATCACAGAACCTCCAAAAGGCATAGAAATTGATGGAATCCAATGTTCCTCTGGAAGAGGGAGTAGAGGTAGTGCTAGGGAAAAAAAGGACTGATTAAAAGCTAATTTACAAACTAAGACCCTCAGATCTCTCCTATACCAAGCACCCAGGGCACTATTTTTCTCCAGCTCTGAAAGAAGACTGCATGACTTAATTCAAAAGAACAAAAATGTTTCTGGACAAGAGACTTATCAGGTATGATTAACAGTAAATACCAAAAGCAGAAGGATAAAATGAAAAATTACATATGGAATACTGAGACCCCTAGCCTTCTTTCCCCAGCTTGATTCTTAAGTGTTCTGGAAGCTACGTACATCTCCAGAAAGAAAACTGGAAGGGTCTTCTTCTCTGTGGCATCTGATCATCACCAAGAGGGAAAACCTAAAAATACTGCCACTATCTTTTTCCCCAAGGAAAACTCTACAGGTAACTAACTCCTGAGAGAAGCCACAGTTGATACGTTCTACCTATCCCAGAGATTTTCCAATTAGCTTCCTAGTGCTACAATCTTATATATAAGCAGACAGCCAAGGATCACAAAACATATGAGAAAAATATCTAGTATTAAAGAATGAGCAATGCAATTTGGTTGATATAAGCAATATGCAGGGAGAAGAAAACTTAAAAAAAACCTATATCTATGCCAACTTAAAGAAAATACTGCATCCATAAAATAAAAACAGGATACACACACACGCAAATACATTCGAATAACTAAAGGAGTTTTTAGAAATTATATATAAAATAGTTGGAAAGAAACTCAATAAAGAGATGAAAACACAGGGTTATAAATTATAGAAAATGCCCACAAAGCAGAGTAAAAGGACAAAGAGATGAAAAGTAGGAAAGAATAGATTGAAAAAAAAAAAAAAAATTAGAGAGGACCCAGTCCAGAAGGGCCACCTTATTAACAAAACTTCTGGGAATACAGAATAGATTTTAAAAAAAGAGTTCAAATAATTCGAAGACTTTCCCAGATCTGGAAAACATGAATTCCCAGATTTAAAAAGACCAATGGTCCAAGGATAAGAAAAGACCTATAACTACAGGGAGTGGACCATAAAATTTGAAAACATTATGCTCAAAGGGGTCATCTTAAAAAAAGTGAGAAATATGACTGCTAAGGAACTTCTCAAAGACAACAGAAGTTAAAAGAAAACAGTACAATTAATCCATAATTCTGAGTGAAAATAACTTCCAAACCCAAAATGATTGATCAGATATTACATCTGTCGCTTGCATTTCATGTTTGGTAAAAGGAATACCATGGCTGGTGATGGGAGTTTCCAAGATGACAATGATGCAACCAGTTCACACTAGAGTAGATGACAGAACTCTAAAGAAAATTTCTTCAAGAAACTAAAATTGGTAGATTACCTAATGTGTTTCTAAGTTTGTAGAAGAGAAACTGTGGGAGGACTCAGAGTTTAATCAGTGGTAAGTACCTGGAAAACTAAGAAAATGAGGACAATTATTAATTACAGGGAAAATAACATGCTGAGCTAGAAAGAAAAGGTAATCGAAATGCACTGCATGTTTCAGTTTTGATTAGTGTCATAGTAATGCAAATAATGAATCTCAATACAGGTGAAAGTATGCTACAACCACATTGAGAAGGTGGGAAGATGGACAGAGAGAAAGTTTGTGCCATGTGGTACAAAGGATGAGACTAAAACTTCAGCTTTTCTACAAGAAAGTTACTGGATAATGCCTAAAATTGAAAAATAAAAGGCAGAACTATAAGCATCCTGTTTAGAAATTTAGATAGAAACATCAAAAGAACTGAGTAAGAAAAGTGATATTAAGCTGCCTTTGAATGGAAGGGGTAAGGTTAGGATGATGGTTTCCACTGCAAGTCTTATAAAAAATTTTCTTTTTTTTTTAGGTGAGGCAACCCTTGGTTGACCTCACAGACTGCAATCCCTTATTTTTGATTTTTCATTTTTTATGCCTATAGCACCTGGTCTTCTTAGGTAGTCTCTCCCATCCAAGTACTAACCAGGCCCGACCCTGCTTAGCTTCCGAGATCAGACAGGATCGAGCTTGTTCAGGGTGGTATGGCCGTAGACTAAAAAATTTAATTCTTAATACAATGTGCAGGATAAAAAAAATTAATTACCCATTTAAATCAGTAAACAAAGGGTGAGACATAATTTTCTTAAAAAATTATAATGTGAATCACATACGTAATTTAAAATTTTCTAATAGACACATTAAAGAAGTAAAAACGGGACTTTGAGGTCAGGATGGCAAAGTAGGTAAACACTGTGCTCACCTCCTTCCACATCATCAAAATTACGACTACAGAGCAGCCATCATTGAGAACCACCTGAAATCTAGTTGAACATAAGTCTTATAACTAAGAATAAAAAGGAGCAGCCATGTCGAGACTGGTAGGAGGGTGGAGAGGAGGAACGGGCTGGTCCCACACCCATTCATGATGGCTAAAAGTTGGGAGGGATATCTCAGCTATGGAGGTGGTGCCTGAGGAGCAAGGGTCCCAGCCCCGCACCGAGCTCCCCAGCCCAGGGTTCCAGTGCCAGCAAGAGGGGTCCCCATAACTTCTGGCTGTGAAAACAAGCAAGGATTGTAGCTGAGAGGGCTGTGGCTGAATGAAATGGAGGGCTGCTGGAGACCTAGGTGTTCTTGTTAAAGGGCTTGGGCAGCAATTTAACAGCTGATGGACTGAGTTGCTTTGGGCTCCAGAGCTGGGGGCAGCAGTTTGAAAGCTGTGATGGAAATATGGGAAGGAACTGAATTGTCTGGCTTCAGGGAAAGGGCTGGAAGGGCACTTTTCTCCGAAACAGAAATTCTGGCAGAAGCCATTTTGTTCTGTGTGGAGCCCTTCCTCAACCCAGACACAGGCCCAGGTGGGCTCCAAGTCTGAGTTTACATGGCCCTAATTAACATTGTTTGCCCCACCTTGGTGATTCTGAGACCCCGCCCCACTGAACTTGCAGACCCACCCAAGTAGCTTCCAGCAGTTTTTCCATACAAAGGGCATGCCTTGGCTTGCACTGGGGACTTTCCTAAAATCTCTTAAAGGTTCACAAACACCAAACAAGCAGTGGCTGGCCTCACTGTGCCCCACTGCTCTTGCTATGCAGCCCCAAGCCCTGGACTAGTGACAGCCAGCCTCGGTTCACATGTTAGCCTCTCCCAGGCACCTCAAAGCCCAGCACAAGTGGCAACTATCTGCAGATCACTTTGTAGCTCACACCAGGTGGACCCAGGCAGGGCACAGGCAGCAGCAGAAATTAGCCAGCATGAGAGTCCCCCCACCCCCAAGAGGCCCCAGGACCAGCACACTCAGCGGTTGGCTTCAGACAAGACCAGAGCACGACCCAACCACCTCCATAAACAACACACCCAAAGGGCAGACTGGGCAGGCACGAGCGCCTTGCTAAAG